GGACACTGTGGTGGCAATGCTGAAAGCCTTATACCCTGGACTGCAGTTTGAAATCAGTGAGTGTTCTGGAAAGGAATTGAAGCTAATGGGAAGCCCAGTACCCCTAGAGGGGAGAACACAGAATTTCTGGTTTTGCCTATGACCAGAGCCTATCCCGCTGCCTCTGGGAAGGCCTCTTGGATGTTCCCAGTTCTGAGGGCCCTTGTCTCCTCCGAATTCCTCTAGCTCTGACTGCCCGGGCTAGCCTGTCATTTAATGTCTTCTGCTTTGGGTCTTTTTATGATTGTGTCTGGTCTTCCTGCTAGATTGTACATACCCAGAGGGCAGGGACTGGGGTTTATGCGCCTCCATCCCCACCACGCATCTTAGCACAGTGCTGGGCTCAGTAGGGGCTCAATAAATGTTGACCGATGAGCTCCTGATAGATTGTCTCTCTCCTCAGTTGCTATGTCCACCACAGGGGACAAGATTCTTGATACTGCACTCTCTAAGGTAACAGCTTCTTCCCCCAGTCCTTGTGCCCCTTCGTCTTTCTTCCCCCAAGAGATTCACTCAGGCTCTTTCTTGTCCGGCAGATTGGAGAGAAGAGCCTGTTTACCAAGGAGCTGGAACATGCCCTGGAGAGGAATGAGTAAGTGAATACAGGAGAGCATAGCACCCTCTGGTCTCTTGCTGGAACTCCAATGTGCGACAGACCTGATGTCAGCTAGGCTGCTGGGCTTAAACCCTTGGGTAGGCTGGAGAGGGCTCATAAGGGGTTTTCCCAGGATTTAGAAAAAGGGAGTCCTGGTTCTAAGCCATCTGACTACCTGGAGTGCAAGATTGGCTGGGGAGAGGGGCAGAAGGGGGTTGGGAGGTGAGCAGGTCTCAGGGTCCTGAGGTCTCAGGAAGCCTGCTTTCTAAATTGCCCTGGGCTCCACCTCTGAAGTAGAGGCAGGGGTGGATGGAGAAGGGGTGGCGGCCTGCTGCCTGTGCCCTTTCTCCTTGCCTTCCTCTTCTGTCTCTCTAGAGTAGACCTGGTTGTTCACTCCCTGAAGGACCTGCCCACTGTGCTTCCTCCTGGCTTCACCATTGGAGCCATCTGCAAGTAAGGGGGCCTGGGCAGGGGTAGGCATCATGTGAACCTTTGCTTTCCCCTTTGGGACTTGGCCTTCTCCCTCGAGGGCTGTATCCCCTGCCCTGAGGAGTGTCGAGCCAGGCAGAAAACTCAGAATGTGCCAGTTAATTGACTATGGAGAGAGAACGGAAGTGACCTAAACCGGAATCTCCCTCATTCTATGACCTTCCCTCCTTCTCCAGGCGGGAAAACCCCTGTGATGCTGTCGTCTTTCACCCAAAATTTGTTGGGAAGACCCTAGAAACCTTGCCAGAGAGGAGGTGAGTGGGACCCGGATAGGCACCTTGGTAGGATGTGCACAGAAGATGGAGGGGTGCGGGGAAGAGGAAAGGAACAGTGGCTGCCTAGTGTTAAATCTCATTTTAACGCTCTGCAGCGTGGTGGGAACCAGCTCCCTGCGGAGAGCAGCTCAGCTGAAGAGAAAGTTCCCACATCTAGAGTTCAAGAGTATTGTATCCTTTCAGAAAAGGGAGGGGGCAGCAGCCAAGGAGGAAGACAAGGTCTAGAGGGCTCTGGGAGTCTTGAGAGTGGACAGAGCTTCCAGAGCAAGTGGCCCATGGGGTCAGTGGCCTGTTTGTCCTTCCATCCAGCCATTCATAATCCTTTGATATTTTCTTAGCCCCAGGCAAGTGCCTGGCACTGGGGAAAATGGTAAGCAAGATAAACATTGTCCCTGCCTGTATGGAGTTTACACAGGGAGACAGAGAGAGAGACTGAGAATTTAGAGTGATACTGAACAGTGAGTACTTCTGTGGGGGTAGTGGGTGCTTCCATTTTTATTTATAGGCTACTATATTGTTTTGATTTTTACAATGAATATGTAGTACGTTTCATAAAACTGATTTTAAAAATAGCGTGTATGTGTTAAGTGCTCCAATGAGTGACGTAGGGAATTCTCAGGAAGCTTCTAGCTGGAACATCTGAATACAGACTTGGGGGTCAGAGACGATTTCTCAGAAGTTTTGTAACCTTGGGCAAGTATTTAACTTTTCTGTATCATTTTCCTTGTCTATACAATGGGGATAATAATAATACCTCCCTCATGGGTTGTGAAAATGAAATGAGTGGACATATGGAAAGCACTTTTAGAACAGTGTCTGGCATGTAGTAAGTATGATGTAAGTGTTATCTGTTATCATTAAGCTGAGAACTGGCAGATGAGCAGAATTCAGCCAAACAGGGAAGGACAGACTCAGGCAGAGGGAAGAGCATGAAGCTCCAGATTGCCCAATACTCCTGGTCCTTAGCTTTTCTCCACAGCGGGGAAACCTCAACACCCGGCTTCGGAAGCTGGACGAACTGCAGGAGTTCAGTGCCATCATCCTAGCCACAGCTGGCCTGCAGCGCATGGGCTGGCAGAACCGGGTGGGGCAGGTAGGGGCTGCCCCTGTCCCTTCCCCAGTTAATCTGCATCTCCTTCCTGCTTGTACAGTCGGTCCCCGGTTTAGGACGGTTAGATTTAGGATTTTTCAACTTTATGATGATGTGAAAGTGATACGTGTTCAGTAGAAGCCATACTGTGAATACCATACAGCCATTCTGTTTTTCACTTTCAGTATGGTGTTCAATAAATTACATGAAATGTTCAACACTTTATTATAAAATAGGCTTTGTGTTAGATTTTACCCAACTGTAGGCTAATGTAAGTGTTCTTAGCATATTTAAGGTAGGCTGGGCTAAGCTGTGATGTTCAGTAGGTTAGGTGTATTAAAGGCATTTTCTTTTATTTATTTTTTTTAAGACTAGTCAAGTATAGTAATGGGAAGGGGGAAAGAGTAGAACCAGGAGTTCAGTCTGTAACTGACTGTGAACAATCAAGTGAGATAACTCACTACCTTCGGACCAGACAAAGGCATTTTTGAGCTGTGACTTTTTCAACTTATGATGGGCTTATCAGGATGTAAACACATTGTAAGTCAAGGAGCATCTATATTCTCTTCTTGGCTACCCCACCTCTACCACCACAAGCTGGGAAGATTGGGAATCAGAAGCCAGACTCCATTTGTGTCTACCCACACTTTCTAGACGATAGGGAAGCCCCATGTCATTGCTGGGTGCTTTTAGGCATCCCCATCTCCACCCTTCTGCCTGTTCTGCGTCCACAGATTCTGCACCCTGAGGAATGCCTGTATGCTGTGGGCCAGGTATGCTTGACCAGGGAAGCCACATGTTGATGTATCCCTTGCCTTTGTTCTCAACCAAGAAGCTGGTCCCCTGGCCTTCTACACCCCCTTCCCCAAGAATAAGTCTCAGGGAGGGGCAGGCCTTGGGATGCTACTGGTCCAAAAGACCCTGGGGAGCAGGTGGAGGAGGGGTGGTTCCCATCCTTAGCTCCACTGGTTGGAGAAAGATCAGAGAAATATCCTAGGCTATTTTTTCCATCAGGGGGCCCTGGGTGTGGAAGTCCGAGCCAAGGACCAGGACATTTTGGATCTGGTGGGTGTATTGCATGATCCTGAGACTCTGCTTCGCTGCATCGCTGAAAGGGCCTTCCTGAGGCACCTGGTAGGACCTGTGCTCCCCCTGTGAAGGGTTGGGGACTTGGGGAGCCGGGAAAGATAGATGCCTCAAATGAATGTTCTATGTGTAGTGATAACTTTCTTGTTGGATGTTGTGTATGGAGAGGACCTGGGTCTGAGCCCCCAGCTGCTGTTTCAGTTATGTCCTCAGAGGTCTGTATATCTCTGAGGGCTGTGGTTAGTGTGGTGTTAAGGACCCTTGAAGCTGAGAGAGAAGCTGAGAGGAACTTCTCTCATTGCAGGAAGGGGGCTGCAGTGTGCCAGTAGCTGTGCATACAACTATGAAGGATGGGCAAGTAAGCAGGGAAAATGGGCGGGAGGGCAGGGAAGAAGGGACTGTGGCATTTCTCTTTGCGCATGCCGGGTTTCTAAGCAGTCCTCTCTCAGGATATGCTGAGGCCACTCTTTCTTCCCCAGCTGTACCTGACTGGAGGTGTCTGGAGTCTAGATGGCTCAGATAGCATGCAAGAGACCATGCAGGCTACCATCCATGTCCCTGCCCAGGTACTGTGGCTGGAGGCTGAGGGAGGGAGGGGGTCATAAACATGAGTGCTTATAATCTTCCCTTTCATTCTCATCAAACCCCACCTCCTTCCCCGATCCAGCATGAAGATGGCCCTGAGGATGATCCACAGCTGGTAGGCATCACTGCCCGGAACATCCCACGAGGACCCCAGTTGGCTGCTGAGAACCTGGGCATCAGCGTGGCCCGTTTGTTGCTGAACAAAGGAGCCAAGAACATCCTGGACGTTGCACGGCAGCTTAATGATGCCCACTAACTGGTCTGTGGGAGCACAGGTGCTTGGGTCGCTGTTGTACAGTGCCTACATCCTGGCCCTCAGTGCCCCGTCCTCACTGCTAACTGGGGAGTGATTACCCCAGGAAAGTGAACTGCAGGGTCCACAACTTCCAGGGACTTGCCTCACCGTGGGGCCTTGGTGACTGCCTTGCCTCCTCAGAAGGCGGGGGGCTTCAACTCTTTATCAAGTCCAAACCACAGCCTTTGAATGTAACCAACTCTACTAATAAACCAGCGCTGAAGGTGGTGATTTTTTGATGGTGTTGGGGGGGAGAACAAACACAAAACTCTTTAATCCTTACTTCTGAGGCTAGGATTTCTGTCCAAAGTTCTCCTGGAACTCTTCTGTCTCTGCCTCAATAGTTTTCATTTCAAACAGAACAAATTGTCTCCCAGGGAACACCAAAAAAGCAAGAGAGCTATAATTTTAAATCCTATGGCTTGTCTCTCCTCCAGTTAACAGTAGAGCCTATTTATACAACACAGCCCCTCCCACCCTATTAAGAAAATATACGCAGTCATCAATCCTACAACTTTTGCAAAATGAAAACAGAAAGACGGTTCATTTTAAAAAAAAAAACAATCCTTTAATAAAATTAGTCCATCTAAAACTCCTCAATACCTAAGGTTCTAGTCTTGGATGGGTTAGCTGCAAAATTCCAGTTCAGAAGTCAACAGAGGCTCAGTCCAGACAGGGATTAACCGACTTGTGCTGGTATCTAGGTGCTTGGATTTGCTGAGTTGAGTTGCTGGAAGGGCAATGGGGCAGAGTAGGTAGGCCCCATAGGCCTGGCTGCCAGTGTTTCAGCGAAAACAACTGCTGTCCACACAGCCAGCTGTGAAGCCGACTTGCAGGCCTTTGCCCTCCCCCAAACGTCTTCCCAGGAGGCAGTCCTCTCTGGAGGAAAGGTGTTCATATTACCAAGCGTCTGGTCTTGGCCACACCGCACAGGCCTATGAATGAAGATGGAGGGAGATCTGATGTGAAAGGCCTGGGACTTGGCAGCAAAGGGGGCAGCAAACCAAAATAAGCGATCCATTTCTCTCCCACCAAGGCCTGGAAATCAACAGTCACGTCTGAGAAGTCCCGGACTAAGCACCAAGCCGGAGAAGTAGCAGACGACCAGGCTGCAGCTGCCGAGGGGATCACTCACCTTCAGGGTCGCCGGCCTTCTCGGCCTCGGCTGCCCCCTCCGCGTTACCTCGGAGCGGAACGCCGTGTCTTCCAGAAGGTGCGGCTGCCTCCCCGCAGCCCCTCAGCAATTCTGAGGATGGGGCGGCGGAGTCACGAGCCAAGGCGCGCAGATGCTGCACCCCAGCCGCCTCGCGGCCCCCGGGAGAGCTCCCGAGCCCTCCCTCCGAGGGCGGCCGGCCCGCGCCCTTCCGGGCAGACAGGACAGGGCCCGAGGCCCGAGTGCCGCGGCCCGGGCGGGAGGCCGACGCGACAAGCCGTGCGGGGGAAGGGGAGGCGCGGGGGCGGGAGGCCGGGAGGCCGGGCGGCGGCAGCAGCGCGCGAGGGGAGGGGAGCCGGGCGCCGCGGCCCGCCCGTCCAGCAGCCCGACGTGGCTCAGCTCTTTCCGTGAGGGCGGTGGTGGCCCTTAAAAGGGCCTTTGTGGTGGCATGGGGAGGGCTGGGCGGCCGGGAGCAGCCGGCAGCGGCGCGGACACCCCTCAATACTCCTGAGAGGCCTGGGTGGCCTTCTTGCCGCCCGCGGGCGCCTTCGGCCCCACGGTGGCGCTGGTCTTCTTGGGCAGCAGCACGGCCTGGATGTTGGGCAGGACGCCTCCCTGGGCGATCGTCACGCCGCCCAGCAGCTTGTTGAGCTCCTCGTCGTTGCGGATGGCCAGCTGGAGGTGGCGGGGAATAATCCGCGTCTTCTTGTTGTCGCGGGCCGCGTTGCCCGCCAGCTCGAGGATCTCGGCGGTGAGGTACTCGAGCACCGCCGCCAAGTACACAGGTGCGCCGGCGCCGACCCGCTCGGCGTAGTGGCCCTTCCGCAGCAGCCGGTGCACGCGTCCCACGGGGAACTGGAGACCCGCGCGCGACGAGCGCGACTTGGCCTTAGCGCGGGCCTTGCCGCCGGTCTTGCCGCGGCCCGACATGTTGCGCGAGGTAGATCTGTGAAAAGAAACGCCTCAGAGAGACACACGAACACACACACGCCACAGTCCAACTGCCGCCGCGCGCGCCGCAGGGCCTCCCTTATAAGCCCCCAGGCACACCTCCGCGTCCTCCTGATTGGCTCTTTTCTCTAATACCCGCCTCTGGTTGGTTGCGGTTAACCCTTCGGTGTCGCGGTACGGCTGTGGGAACGCGCCCGCCGATTGGTCGAATTTGAAAACCTTTTGCCCGGGGAAAAAGTCGAGCAGGAGAGGTAGCGCGCAGACGGCCAAACACTCCCTGATGTAGCCAATCCTTGTAAAGCGCGCGAGATTTAAACACTACAGCCGGAGATCAGACCCGGAAGATAAAAGGGGTGGAGTCTGAAGCCACCTAGCCGGCTTCTGGGAAATCTGTGCTGGCCTAGGATTTTTTTTTTCTTTTTTTTTTTACTGTTTATCACTACAAATTTTTTTCAGAAACCATCTTTGTGAGTTTTTTAAATTTTATTTTTTTCTATTTTTTTAATTTTTGTATTTTTTATTTTTTTCATTTTTTTTGGTGGGGATTAAACCCAGGGCCTCGTGCATGCAATTAAAAAAAAAATTCCCATTATGAACTGGTTTGGACAATCAACACTTCCTAGCAGACGTTAGGTAAAAATGGCTCGGCTCAGAATCGCCCAGATCTTTCACGGTCTCGAGATCGCCTCCTGTCGCGCTCCCGTCCCCCGCCGCCGCCGCCGCCGCCACCACGACCACGGTCTCTAGACCGGGAACGACGCTCCCGAGACCGGGACCCCGATCTATGCTTCTTGCGCCGGCGCCCATACAGCTCGCGCCGCAGTTCTCTGGAAATGGGCTTCAAGTGCATGAAGTTACAAAAGCCGCCCCGCGTACACTCCCCCATCTCATACTGGCGGCAGCAGGCCTCTCTGAAGTCAGTCACAGGCGAGAGCTCAGCGTGGATCGGCTGTCCATTGAACCAACGGTTATTCAAGTCAATCACAGCCTTTTCTGCGTCTTCCTCACGGCGAAACTTAACGTACACGTTCCCCACCAGGTGGTCTCCCAGGTTATCACAGACGTTCATCTCCTCAACTTCCCCATACTTCTCCTCCATTTCTGTAAAAACCTCCTCAAAAAACTCATCGTAGTGTTCCTGCATCTCAACATCGCTCACAGCACAGCGCAGCCCGTCAGCAGACTGGGAAGAGTTTTGAGGGTTACGGTAAATGTTCAAGAGGGCAATGGTCTGGCTAAAGGTCGGTTTATTGTGCAGCCGAGAACACCGGTCTCCATGACGACACGCTCCAATTTTGAAATAAAATGAACAGTTGACTTTGTCTTTCTCGGTGCCGAAGATGGAGGCCAAGTACTCCGCCATTTCCCATCCACCGCTGCCCAGGCCGCCGACCCTGCCGACGCCCGCGGAAGAAGACACCAGTACGCGACGACGCTCTCCCCGCCCCCAACGTGACAGCGCTACCCAATCCGGCGCGGCGCCCCCTGCGCGGGCGCGGAACGCAGCGCGTAGGGGCGGGGCGTAGCGCGCGCGGGAGGCCTCTGGCTGAGCTCTGAGCGGCTGCAGGCGCAGCGTTTTGGGGCTCCTCCGCCCAACGCCGGGAGCACTAGAGTGCAGGTATTCCGCTCCCGGGTGGGCCCTGTCGCCTTAAAAGCTAGCCTAGGATTTTTAAAAGATTTACTACAACTACCTCTGCCTCCCCTTCCAGGTCTGGTCACTCCCCACTCCCTCCTATCTGGCAAGCAAGAGTGAAAAAGGGAAGAAATGAGATCCCATGAGAGTTCCGTCTCATGCCAGAGAACAGGATAACTCCAGTCTTATGGCCCTCCAGACCACCTGAAGTATCAGGATTTTAATATTTATTCAACATGTTCTGTCTGGTTTCTGTTCTTTTCTCTCCTTGCTAGAAGGAACCTGATGGGGCAGAGAGATAGGCATCCTCTCGGAGGAGGTACCCTCACCAACCCTTCCAATCTACCCTAACATGCCTATATAGGAAATATACCTACAGGAACAACAATAAGAAAAAGACAACACTTTATTGTCACCGTTGGGAGCACCTGGCCCCTTGGTCTGCTATTACGAATTACAACACTTAATTTATAGTCAAATGTCAAGTCACTTTGAAGCCTGTGTCCCTAGCCCTAGCCCAGGTTCTACCCCATGGCCCAGCATATTCCTTGAGAGTCAGGGCTCTGAAATTTGAGTTGTGGGTAACTACATAAAAGCTGCTGTATCCCACCTTATGAGGCTGCAAAGATGGGAAGGAGAGGGAGAGAGTGGCAAGTTGGAGAAAGCCACAGGCAAAGCCGTAGGCAAAATTCTACAGTAGTCAATAGAGGGCAAGAAAAGCCCAGAATGTCAATAATCGCAAGGGAAGGAAAATGCTGAGAATGAAATCTGGTGGAGTATGAAGGACAGGAGAGGCCTGGGCCAGGAGGCAGTCTTGGTACAGACAAAGGAACCCTGGAGACTGTGAGGTAAGGGCAATGATCAGGGGACTCAGACATCATAGAAGAGTCGGACAAGCTGGTAGCGAATGGAGAAGGTGACAGCACTTCCCAGGATCTGCAAGGAGAAATGGACTGGAGTAAGAACCATGAAGAAAAGCAGACAAGGAGATGTAAACCCTGTTCCCAACCTCACCTGCAGCAGCAGCAGGAGCAATGTGAGGTTTCTTTCATGTATGGGCCCAAAGACTTTAAGTAGCAAGTTGATGAGGGTCATGTTGTTACACTCGGTGAATTCACCATCCTCATTCTCACTCTGGCGCACTGTCACTAGCCGGAGGCTCTCTGCTACCTGGAGGGGCCAGAGGTGAAGAGAACTTCAGTTAATACCTATGCTTTAGGAATGGAGATCTGCTTAATGCTTCCAAGCACCCCTTGGATATGATGCAGGCCTAGGTTCCCCATTCCCCAAGTTCAAGATGGTAACCTAGGGCCTTACCTCCTTGTTACCCTGTTACCTTTAGAATAAAGGTGCCCAAAAAAGAGAGGCTGTTGGTCTTGAACTTGGAATAGCTCATCTCCAGTTTGCCTGTCTTGATATTGAGTCTGCGGGCGGGGGGGAAGATAGCTGCATGTGACTGGGCCACTACTCAAACAACTCTCCTCTCTGTGGTTAATTAATAGGAAGAGGACTGAACGTGGAGTCAACCTGAGATCTATTTCTGGCTCTGCTGCTTAATACTGTGTGATTAGAATGGCTATGAACATTAATTGAGATTACGTAAATAAACGTGCTTAGTAAGTTATAAAGGGCTACCCAGATGGAAATAGGCCTTCTTTGGGCCCACTTCTTTTACACAGCAAATATAGGCTGGCTTCAGATGTCCCAAGTCAAAAGGCTACGATGATGTCCCTTTCAAGCCCCAAAGCAGCTACCTGGGCACACGGTGACGAGGGCAGGGGATGATATGCAGGAGCTGAGGCAGTGAGTAGAGGAAGTTGAACACCTGGGGCATGAAGAAGAGTAGCATGGTCTTGCTGAAGTGTCCCAAGATGCCCACCACGGCAAAGGTCATGCCAGCAAAGTAACAGAACGTATCTCCCACAAACACCCGTGATGGGTACCTGTGTGGGGGAGAGGATCTGAGCTAGTGGCAACAGACCTTACCAGTCCTTTCACTCACATCACACTCTGGGCTCTTGCCTCGCCCTTACCCTAGTTCTGACTCAGAGACTCCAGCTGTCTTAGCAACTATGCAGGAGCCCAGGCCCTGAATTCATCTATTCCTCGGGGCTCCATAGCACTCGTCCCCAATTACTGCTGGGTAGAGAGCAATTTCAGAATACTACCAATTGAAGACCCAGAAAACACTCAACACAGGTATGCACAGGTTCAGCCTCTCCACCAGGAAGTGGGTTATGATCAGGACCATCTTTGCCACGTGTTCAGATAGTTGTCCCCCTTGTCCACAGGCCTACTTACCAGTTATGGTAGAGCAATCCCAAAGTGGTGAAAAAAAAGGGTATCATGAAGTAGAGGGAAAAAACATGATCATCCCGATAATCACCTTTGGAAGTAGAGCAAAAAAAAAGAAGGCAGAGTTAATACCCACTTCCCCTGCAGACCTGGGTCTTATTTTTGCCTGTCTTTAAGTTCTGTCCTCAGTTCTATCATCCACTTCACCCAAATCACTTTCAAGAACTCAGTTCCCCTTTTGTGTCACCCAGGCTTCTTTCCTTTTTCTTTTTTTTTTTTTTTTGTAGGAAACACCAGTGATTCAGTGTTTAATAATTAATAGCACAACTGACCAAGATGCAAGATGTGAAAATACCATGTTCAAGAAACTGGGGGATAAATCACTCTATAAACTATGTAGTATGTGATAAGAGTGGACATTTTATAATACAAAACCTGTCTACACATAGTAGTTAGCTGCAAAAAGCCATTCAATCTTCTCTTGGCTTGAAAGACGGTATTCCACATTTCAGTGTAAATTATTAGCAAACTTCAACCCTTTTGTGTGGCAGGTATCTTGTTTTCACCTTCCAGTTCTTCCACTCCAGCCTGTGTCATGAAGTCTGCGATGTTTCTCTCCAGATCATCAGTGCGACTACTCATATCATCAGTTCTTCCAATGATCTGGTCAGACATGGCCTGAAATTTATCTTGCATCTGCTGCAGAAGTATCTGTACCACCAAGGTGAGATCCTGCATGGTCTCAGGGTCAGTCTCAGCCATCTGCCCAGTTCCCAGCTTGGCGGTGATGCCCCGAGCCATCGCCTGCACTTCCGTTTGTGCAGATACCCCCCAACCCCCAGGCTTCTTTCATGAAGCTTTCCTAAGCTAGTTACTGTCTTAAATTTGGTTTAGACCATTCTGACCTAGGTTTGAATACCAGCTTTACTTCCTAGCTGTGTGACCTTGATCATGACACATTTTACTTTGCTAAGCCTCAGTTTGCTCATCTGTAAAATAGAGCTAATGATAATACCTGCCACATAAAGCCATTACAAGATTTAAATAAAATAATGTTTACAAAGTGCTCAGTTTTTTTTTTTTTTTTTTTTTTGAGACAGAGTCTCACTCTTTTGCCCGGGCTAGAGTGAGTGCCGTGGCGTCAGCCTAGCTCACAGCAACCTCAAACTCCTGGGCTCAGGCGATCCTCCTGCCTCAGCCTCCTGAGTAGCTGGGACTACAGGCATGCGCCACCATGCCTGGCTAGTTTTTTTTCTATATATTTTTAGTTGTCCAATTAATTTCTTTCTATTTTTAGTAGAGACGGGGACTCGCTCTTGCTAAGGCTGGTTTCGAACTCCTGAGCTCAAACGATCCGCCCGCCTCGGCCTCCCAGAGAGCTAGGATTACAGGCGTGAGCCACCGCGCCTGGCCAGTGCTCAGCTTTAATAAGCACTTGTTGATGTCCATCAGCCAAAGACAGCTATAGTCAAAGCTACATTTACTGACTCATAACAAGGGAGATTTCAAAAACCACACACCACGAGGAACCATAGTATGCCTCAGTAGGGGGGTATTAGGAGGGGCTTGTTGTAGGATTTGTTTTGGGTAATTTTGGGGAGGGTGTAAGAAAGTACAGTTTTGCTCTGGACTGGGTGCTGTCAGAAAGCAGGACTAACTCTATGACTGAGCATCTTAACTTTTATCTAAGAAGTGGGAGGAACTGAGATGTTATTGGAAAGAAGCGAGTATCTCTCATGTTAGCTGAGAGAGGGGATCTTGATCATTTTGTGAGTTGCCCAGTGTTCTTATGGTTTTGTCTGTGCTGACATTATGGAGGGAGGGGTCTGGTTTTTGTCTTGCTCCATCACAGTCACTCTGTGTTGTCTAATGTTGGGGTTCTGTGAAATTGCTTATGTTCAGTAATAACAGATCATGGCCTAGCTAGTGCCAATTCAGCTATGAGTGACATATCTGCTTTTTTCATTCTTTCTTTTTTTTCAGGTGTGATCTCAGTCTGTCACCCAGACTGAAGTACAGTGGCATGACCATAGCTCACTGCAGCCTCCTGGGCTCCAGCAAACCTCCTGCCTCAGCCTGCCAAACAACTGGGATTACAGGTACAAGGCACCACGCCTAGCTTTGGGGCTGCTATTTTTATTTCTCATTTTTAATAATCTTCATTGTTACTTGCAAAATAAATGTATCTCTCTATTTAATATCTACATATAAATATATAATTATCTTCTATAATTACTTACATATGGCTTTTTTTTCTAATTCCCCAAGGCCGTATATCAGGCAACTCCCTTAACACTCACATTGCTCTCTCTCCCTACCCCAAATCCCACCTACCTTCCAGCTCCACCAGGTTGAAGACAATGATGGAAGCAGAAATGACTAGTGACTGGCCAGCCTCTAGGCCATTAATTCCTGCTAGGATATTGATGGCATTCGTACAGAACACTGCCAGCAGCCCCATGTAGACATAGTACAGGATTCCTGGGGAGAGACATAGGGAAGGAGGATTAAAGAATTTGAGAAAAGTGGTAAGGACAGGGGACAGGATGAAGGGCCACCAGTAAGGATATGAGAAGACACAGGGACAGAAAAAGGATACTTGGAGAGGTACAGCACCAGGAAGGGTACTCTGCTGGATATCTCAGGGGTAAGGGTGCCCTGAAATAGGTGCCATGGGGGCAGTAGTGGCAGGGCTACTTACCCAAGTCGAGATGCAGGCCAAGAATCGGGCGGAAGGGCTTGGGTACCACAATGGTTGTATTGCCAAAGTTGGTGAAATAGACCATGAGGAGAGGTAGTGAGGCAGCTGTGGGCAGCAGCAGCTTATGGCGCCAGCGCAGATTCAGTACATCATCCGCAAAGCCCAGGAAAATCATGCAGCAGATGGCAAGGAGGGCACCTATCAGGGCCACAAACTGGGGGAGGCTCGGGCAGGTCATGACTCAAGTCTACTCCCATTCCACCTTTCAAGAAATCCTGTCTTTTCAGACCATTCCTCAGCCCCTCCTCCCAAACCCAAATAACCCCAACTCTCTCAGGTACCGCCCAGGCCCCACAGGCAACCACCCCCACTAGCCCACTTACTTCATGGTGAGGGAATGCTTTACACTGCTCCTTCACAAAGCAGTTCAGGAAGGGGAAAGGGATGAAGCAGAAGAGGATGATAAGGAAAACAGCACCGCTGATCACTCCCTGGGACTCCGGGCTGTAGCCCACCGACAAAGGTGTGGAGGGGAAAGAGGAAAGGGGGCGTGGTCACTCACTAGGGTAGGCATTACAATTACCCAAAAAACTCATTCCCAGTTTTTTACTGTGGGGGATGACGAGGGGAGGCGGAAGGAGAGCACCACTGCTGGAGTCCCTGATACACCCAAGGGTCCCCCACCTATTCCTTCCCTAATGCTAACCAGTTCTGCCCATCACCTCTCAGAGTCCCGGGTTGCCTGAGTTAGCTCTGGGGCTCCACACACGCGTTGTCCCCGTCCCTGCCCTGCCCACTCCTTCCTCAGCCCTTGTTGCCCACCCAGCACCCGTGTGCCGCTGCTCACATCTGCTGCCGGCTGGATTTGTTGAGGTCCTGACCACAGAGGCGCGCGGCGATGAAGTGGCCACGGAAGGCCGGGATGAGGGTGAGTGTGGCCACAAATCCCAGCAGCGAGCCGATCAAGTTCACCAGCAGCGGTAGCGGCAACTCCGGGAAGGCCCACATGCTGACCAGTCAGGGGCCCCGCTCCGCCGCCTCCTCAGCTAACAGCCAAGCTGGGCAGCAGTCCTAAGGCCTCAGCAATAAGCAGTGGCCACTCCCACAGGTAGGCTCTTCCCACACCAGCCTAAGCAAAACCAGACAGTTCTAACTTGAGCCGCCCTCGGGACCTCCGAGAGCCTCTATAAAGCAACCTCCCCTTTGCCCTTCTGCACCTGCCTACCCACTGTTTCCGCCCGGATCTCGTTCGCAGAGCAACTATTGCTGCGGAGAGCGGCGGTCGCCATTTTTAATATGGGCACTAGAGTTGGGACGGAAGTGTTATTTTAAACTTCGTCTTTTGTTCGAGAGTAGAGTTATCACGAGAATGTTAGAAAGGCAATTAAAGAAAGGCAAACAAGAGCAGATATTTTTCTAATATTGCATTAAAGATGTACAGCTCAGAGCCGTCGTACCCTTTGCCCAGTTCCAAGATGAGCGCCTCCTTGTACCACGTGTCGGACACCGCTCACACTGGTTCCACGTCCGTTTTAGCTCCGTACGCCTCCGCAGGTGACGTTTAAAGGGCCATTACCCCGCGCTTAATCTGGGATACCACTGGAGCTGGGAACACAGCTACTGGAAGCCAGGGGGTGGACAGGAGGGACGAGGGTGTGGAGCCGCACCTGCTCCTTGTAGGAAACCTGTTGCCAACGTAGGCGGAAGCCAAGGTAAACACAGCTGGGTTCCCCGAAACGCAGCTAGAATTTGGAAGGATGATGTAAATTCTAAAACGCAGACTCTTGAAAAGCACTTTCCACTCTGTTTCCTTGTCCTTCATTCAGGTATTTTTTTCTCAACATCCCACCCACCTTTTGCCTCCACTGTAGCAGTTAGTTGCTGGGCAACCCAGCGCTGCTCTTCCTCACGGAAGGGACTGGGAGTGCCCTCAGGTCCTGGATTTAAATCGGGACTCCAACTTGGCCCTGGATCACTACTTTGTGCCAAGTTCTCAAAACGACATGTAGGCTGAGGCGTTGGAAAGAGCTAAGGAAGCAGGAGAACCAGATCAATACCTGACTTCCTGATTTCTTCTTCCAGGTGACCATGCCTTTTGTTTGGCTCTGTTCCCCTGCAGGTAACAGTTCATCAGCGTCTTCATTCTCTTTCATTGTTCCACAGGCTTTTAGGAGGCATATGATGTCCATTCTTCAGGGAGGAAATCACCACCTGACAGATTAGAAGAGGCCTGGAATAGCGTGGCACTTTGTCCACTCTAACGAATATGGCATGTTCGGGGAGTCAGAGTCAGGTTAACGCTTTTTAGGCCAAAGATAGTCTCTTCTTTCTCTCAAAACCAGGTGTGAAATGTCTTTTCTACTTGAAGATGGCTTTAATTAACAACAAAAACCCAGATATGTATAAAGTACATAAACATATATATACATACATACATAATCTTTGTAATTTGCTTGACAGTATTCCACCAAATTTTCAGTACTTATTATCCCACTGGCATTGTTTTTCTGTGTGTGTGTGTGTGTGTGTTGCGTGTGCCCATGCGTGCCCCTCTTAGACTGGAAACTCCCTGGAGGCAAGTGTTTTCTGTTCCACGGGGTGTCCCTTGAGGCAAGGAACACACAGATATCTGTTTACAAAGCATCATGACACATAATGAGTCTGAGTCTAAAAGAGGTACTGAGGGCAATAGGTGCACATAGAGGGAGCAGTTAGTTCTGACCAGGGAAAGTGAGAGGGTCTTTAGGAAGAGTAGTATCTCAAAAGATTTCAGTAGGTGGTAAGAGCGGAAGGGCCTTCCAAATGGGCAGAGTGAGATGCCAGAAGCAGGTGGAAAGGAGGAGCTTGTGGGATCCCCAGAGCAGGCAGCCTTCAGTTATTAATATCTTGTTGATCAGGAGCATGTCGAGACTCCCTGGAGGTCTGGGAGACAGTCTGTATCTATTTCCTTTTTTTTTTTAGGAGGCCAATCCTAATCTTCCTTCCCAGTCTGGCATTGGGAAGCTTTGTCTCTTTCTTCTCCAGAGATTGTTAGCCCTCCCCACCACTAACCTCCTGCCCC